AGTATGCCACGCAGGCTCTTTGATGTTGCTCTTAAACAAGGAGGAGCTCTAGGTTATTAATTGTTGTACATATGCCATCAACGTTAATAAATCATTTTCTTTCTCAGGGTGACCTGATAATTATGAAGCGGTGCACAAGCCGACACTATCTTCAAAAAATTCATTAAAAAATTGAGGTGAAGGATATTGCGACAAAAATTTGAATACGGAGGTGCATTGTGATGAGGAATCTTCCAGTGTTGCCAAAAATTCCATTCCGGCTGCTTTCTCCAGAGTCGCAAAAATGAAGGGTGACCTTATAATTATGAAACGCACTGTATTTATTTTCACGGCACGACCCTATTGGAGTTCACAGATCCTCATCTTTCCCGTATATGTTCTTCGTTGTACTTCCGTTGGCCCTAAGTAATGACATGGGACGGGTGTAGCTTGGAGGTTCGCATTGAATTGCGAGCGAGCGAGCCAGGGCCAAGGTTCGAATACTGTAGTATTGAACTGAATTTTTGTTCTCGTCTCCTTTTAGTATTGAAATCTATCTTACAACGAGAAACACGTCGCGGTGTCCGGGCGCTATATTAATGTACCGCTCTTTAATGAGTAGGGAGGAAACCCGATAACTAAATCTCATTTTGACGTCTTCAGCTCCTTGTATTCAGGCTTGGTTAGTTTTGATGTGGATGTGTTACAGATTTTCTTTCTAAAGTATGGGCAGACAAATCGCCGCCAGCACACTTTGGAACGTTCATTTCAGCAATTGTCGCACTTTTCAATCACGAATCCCTAGTAGGTTTCTTAATAAGAAAGCAATTGATCATCAAATTCGATCCCAAGTTTTTTTTTGAATTTTCAGTACCTCAAAAACGAAGCATGTGATGTTCTTGTGGCACTTTCCAGTCATACCTCATTTCGTGAAGACGAACACTTGGTGCAATCGCTGCGGCTCGTATTTTCAAATATTTTCCGCACATTTGTTAAGGTATTGAGTTCTATCCCGTTTTCAATTTCGGTTGATTATAAAATTCCACGACTTCTGCTTGCAGGATGGTTACCCATCACGAAATCCGCCCACGTCGGCAAGTCACTACTCTCAAATGGACTTCGAGGACGATCTGGAATGGCATAACTTTTTTATGCGTCAGTCATTTTCTCCTTCATCTCAGCTGCGAAGATAATCCCGAACAAGCTTGCCAGTAAACTATTGCACACACATGTGGCCAGAAAGAAGCAGCTCACTGACGTTCGCGGAGTAGCGTATATGTTAAAGGCACAGTTCACGATAAAAATGGTCTCTGATATCTCTTCCTAAAATGAACCTGTGGCCTCCAGGGAAAGCGCAAGGGACACCATCAGGCCGAAGAACGGCCTATATAGGGCATAATAAGGGCCTCCAAGACCGGCTTAGCCGACGCCACCCAAGACTTTCGAGTTCTCCCAGCGTTGTAAAAGGTGTAGAGATTACAATATTTGAACGGGACCTACACGTTGCACGCAGGCAGCTTACTGTGGCCAGCTATTCGCAGTTGCGCATACACTCTAACGACTCGTCCAAATACCCTTTCCATGCAACTTTTGTCGTCACATTCTCATCCAGCCTTAAATTTTCTACTTTTTTGGAACTTTGTTTTCTCTAAATACGCCTATCTTTATCTATCATTTTATTCGCCATTTTTGCGCTGATCTCGGATATCATTTCTTTATTCGTTTGAGGCCAGATACCCCAAAGCTATCTTGAGCTGTGCTTTCAAGTGGATGAGGGCAGAGGTTCGTTTCAGTGCAATCGCAAGCGATTGTTGTACGAAATACGATGACCCTCAACACTTTAACTCTTGTTTTGTGCAGCAAGTTAAATTTATTTTGACTTAGTGTTCTTGTTAACAAGGATAACGAGTTGTGGGCAAAAGGTCGGCCTGATGGGATTCGACCCCGCACTGACAGGAACACGATAATTTTGGGTTATCTAGTTTTGAACGTGTAATGAAAGTGATAGTCCAAATTAGAGCAAAAGTGATGAGGGAGACATGAAAACCGCCGTATTTAGATAAATATTAGGCTTCGAAAAAGAACTAAATATAGCGGTTTGATGAGCATGTCGCGAAAGAAGCTGAATGGAGGTGGAAGGACGAGCTATTCGAACGCGCGTGCAATTGTGTACAGACGGTTGCGGCCTGCGTGCGAGGTGTGGGTCCCGGTACGAATGGTGCAACCTCTACAGCTTTTACAACGCCTAACAATTCGTGCGTCTTGGGCGTGTACGTCGGCTGAACCGATTCTGGAGATCCTTATTACTCCTGTTATCTTATTATTAACTTATCTTGCTGTCTTCCGATCCGACAGTCCCCTAGGCTATCCCTGGGGGGTCACATGTGCATCCTAAGGAGAATTCTCAAAAGCTACTCTTAACGCGAACCGATGCTGATATTGGCTGACCGTGTTCGAGTCCCATCCGAGGCCAAGGTTTTGTCCACAGCACGTCATCCTTGTGAGCCAGTTTATGCCATCGCAACGATTGTAAGAGCTACAGGGAACACATCCGCGTTTCTTTAATATCGCAAGTTTTTCAATGCCCATACAGTGTTGATTTGGCATTGCATTGGTCAGAGACAAAAGTGACTAACATAAGACGGGTAAAGTAATTTTTAAGCAAGTCCTTCAGTGGATGTGTACGAATCATCTGCTCTCAGGATTCCGCTCTCGTCTTCAACTGCTGATTGCTAACAACCTTGCTGACCATTTTGATCTCTTGCTTTCTGTCTATGAAAAAGATGTGTTGCACAGAGTCCTATCCGATCCTTACGGAGGTATCATTTTCTCAAGGTTCAAAATCCTGTTACACTCTTGATAAGATTGCTTAAGTGAAAGAAGTTGAATGGGATGCGATGCAGAAGTTTGCTCGGAGTGTTATAGCAGTTGCTTATGAGAGAAACATCGTTGATAAAGTAAGCTTCAATAGGTAGTGTTCGCTGTATGCTAGATCTACTGGTTAGAAATTCAGAAGAATGAACGTCTAATTGCCATCCGCAATACATTGGTGACCAGAATGGGAAATGTGACGGTTTGTGATGTTCTAAGTGAAGTAAGGCTCCTTTACTTCTACATTATTAATTTGTAGAACTTTCATCGCGCCGTTCTGCCGCTGTGCGAGAGTAATTGGTGTTTTACTGGGTTTTCAACGAGTTATGTAGTCAGTGCATACTTAGCAGCGGTCGTCATTTGCAGATGTTATCTCTTCATTCGCCATCTGTTTTGAGCTATGAGGACGATTTCGACAACTTCACAATTTACTTCTCTCTTCTTAGGAAGTATGTTTTATCATCCAACAATGAACGGCAGATGTGGCTAAAATGTTTTGTTCAGAGCGTTGTTCATGTCAGCGGGTCACAAGACACTTAATAGGCATGTCATAAGTCTCATTCTTCGCACTGTTCAGCATTTCCCGACTTACTTCAAGGTATGTTCTTTTCCTTAGTGTTTTCCGATGTATGTGTAGGCCGTGCTCAATATTGTCAACATCACCACACTTGCGACCTTACTGGCGTTACTTGTTGCTCTGTTTGGGTAAATGTATCAGAGTCAGTCATCCGATGGAGTTGAACGCAATTAAAGCTAGCCACCGGCTGCCGTTCAGATTACTTTCCCGCGCGCGATCATTTGAATGTTTCATGGACTGCTATTGGAGCACAATATGTCTTTCTGAATGCGGCTGTAGTAATGTGTAGGTGTCGTTCGAAGTAACCTTTTTCTGCAACTTCTTTTCCGGGAATGGAGGAGTCGTGTCGATCCGAGTTTAACTCTTCGGTGCGATCTTTAATGATACAGGAATACGATAAAGGTGAAGGGGCCTTTCTAATGCCACTCACTACCAATTATCCCTTGTCTTCTAGTTCGAGAAATTCCTTTTACTGACTCCAGTTTGGGTTTTCTAGAGTCGAAGAAATTTATTTAACCACACTCTGAGCAATGCTTCTGTATTTTATGCATCATATGTAAAAGGTAAGATTAAGGGTCATGTGCGTAGTGGTTTGATGGTTGTGTTAGTATATGTTTATCTGTTTGCGTTTGGTTATGTAATCAGTAAGCAATAGGACAAATATGGCAATCACAGAATACCTTGAAAGGCAACAAAGCAAAGCAAAGTAAAGTAAGATAGGAAGGTATTAACTAAACAGGTTAAACCAACGTCTTGCCCTGGTCGTCGTTTGCGGTAGACTGGGGACCATGCTTTTTGGTGACACCGCCCGCTTGACCCCCATGTCATAGTTGGCGTCCCGACGCCGTCTCAGGCAGTTAGAGAGCGACGTGGGAGGGGATCCGTCGACTCAGACGACGATGCCATGAGCATCAGCAAAGATGTTGTTGGAAGCGATGATTTTTCCACTGCAGTTACCCTCGTAATAATTGTATCGAGTGAAGTGCGAATTTCCAACGGGTAAATTTTGTTGAGAGGGCGACGGATAATTATGTGGTTGGGCTTGAGAATTCTTGCAGATGTAACTAAGCCGTCGTTGGATTCAGTAATTTCCGTGGTCCTGCCGTAAGACCACGTTCTCCTTGGAACGAGTTGCTCTTCAATGGACACGATCTCGCCTTTTTCTGTGCACGACCGTTGTGAGTGTTTAGGTTGCTTCAGACGCTGTTTTTGCATCTCTCGAAGGGATACCAAATACAATCGCTTCTAAAAATCCCAAGATTTGTTCGCTATTTATTTATTTGTTCATTACGCTATATGCGACAGCGTGAGAAAAGCGTTAAAAATATAAATACGAAACAACCATAGATGAAAACCGACAACAATCCCTAACAAACACAATACACTTGACACCTATGCTTGTAGTATAAGCTTTGCTGCAGACCGAAAGAAGCGCTAGAGCTTCGAGTGGATATAGATTTACTGACACACAAAAAAGATAGTCCAGCCCTAATAGTAAAAACATCCCGCCTAATTGTGGTTTTAGGCCTATGGAACGATAATTTGAGTTCTCCACCCTTTGTTATGGATGGAATGAGATCATAGAACCGTGGAAAATCGATAACAGCTTCAGAAGTGAGAACCCTATGCAACATGCATAAATCATAAAGGTCTCATCTGGAATGCAAGGAAGGAATCCGGAAATATTTGTTCCTTATGGGAGCGTCAGGGATTCTGGAATATAAGAAACCACCGCGGCGCGCGAGGACTTTCCCTGTAAAGTTGCTTTGGACTTTTTCGATGAGAGCCAAATCCTTTTACTTTTGTGGGTAAAACAAAACGGTTCCGCTCTCAACCAGTGGTCGTATATAAGTCTTATATACACGAATGAGAACCGTGCCGTCATTGGTCGTAAGAGCCTTGAATATCTGGTAAGTACGTTGAAATGTTTTTTGTGCACTTCCTTAATGTAATCGAAAAAATTTAATTTGTTGTCAAGTACAAGTAACCTAAATCTTTGACCTTCTCAATATGCGGAAGATTTAGAAGCAGGAGCGCCAATGCGCATGTAATAGGTTTTGGTGAGTAGCGGACCCGCCCCTGCGTTCACCCCGGAAATCAACGAGGTCTTC